CTGGAGAGGGTGTAGCAGAGGCAGAGGAGATATGGCAGCTGCAGTTTTATTCCCCCCCCCCTTTTCTTTCAGAGCTGTGGTTTGTGAGAGGAAACGGTGGTGGAAGAGTAGAGAAAGAAAGAAAGAAAGAAAGAAAGAAAGAAAGAAAGAAAGAAAGACAGTGCTTGTTGGACTAGAGATAGCTGGGAGAGCAGAGACTGCCAAGAAGAAATTGGGCTATCATGGATGGGGAAAATTTCAACTATAAAAATGGCTGTCCTCCCTAAAATGATTTTTTTTATTTCAAAATTTGCCAATGAATCATAAAACCTTTAAGAATTGGCAAAAGGATGTTTCGAAAATCTTGTGGTCAGGCAAAAAGCCAAGGGTTAAATTTAAACTATTGTATGATAAAATAGCAAGAGGAGGCATGGCACTACCTAATCTTCAAATTTGCTATTATGCATGTATCATGGACTGGATAGTAAGGTAGATTGTTTAAAGTTAGAAAATTATAGCAGAATTGCCATGATGTAGTGCAGGGGTAGGCAACCTTTCCCCTTTAAGGGCCGAGGGACTTCAGCTCCCAGAAGCCTCAGCCATGTTGGCCAATAGCTCCTGGGATTCTGGGAGCTGAAGTCCTTCGGCCCTTAAAGGTGAAAGGTTGCTTACGCCTGATGTAGTGCTTCTTAATACCCTACCAGGTATTAAGGTATTAAGGTATAGACTATTACAACTAGAAGGCACAGATATCAGATTTGGTTGGCATGCCTACCTCTTCTATGGGAAAGATAAAGTTAATAGAGACATCTGTGACCATTACATTAGAAAACCACTGTTACAGACTTGGTTAAAACTAAAACCTAGACTGTGTCAAGGCATTCTGAGATAGGCATCTATAAACAAAGCCTTCTTTAATAGAGTTCGACTAGATAAGGGGAGATGGGTAACTTACAAAGATTTGTTGCAAAAAAACCAAGATGGAAATGAAAACATTGGATCAAATGAGGTTAGAAGGTTTGAATTGTATTTGGTTTACTTATTACCAAATTAAAGATTTGTATTACACAAAAAACTAAAGAATATTATAGATCCAGAGCCAGAGTTTGAAAAAATAATAAAATCACAAGAGACACATAGAATTAAGAAATTCTATAAATTATTGTTAAAATTTGACATGGAAGAAGAAGTGGTTAAACCACAAATTATAAAATGGCCCCAGAATATAGAAGTGCCGATAAATATGGAACAATGGGAAAAACCTGGATAAAGAGATGAAATATACAAAAATTAAGGGAGAATTTTTATAAAATGCAATTTAGGTGGCACCTTATCCCATTTAAATTGGCTAAAATCTACAAAAAAAGAGAATTTTAAATGTTGGAAATGCGAAAAAGAAACAGGCATATTTTATCGTATGTGGTGGAATTGCGATTTGTCAAAAATATACTGGGAGGAGATCCACAAAGAGATCGAAATAATGTTAAAGTGTAAATTAAAAAAAAGATCCAGTAATGTATTTATTAAGTATAACATGAGAGGAAACAACAGAAAAAAATTACGGCAGACTTATTTTTCATTTAACAATGGCAGTTAGGTTAATATTTGCAGCAAAATGGAAACAAAACACAATTCCTGAAATTAATGAATGGAATATGACAATATATGACTTAATGGAATGTGACAAACTAACACAGTGCTTGCAGAAAAAAACATACAAAGACTTTGAGCAAGTTTGGGAGCCCTTTATTGTTTATATAGGACAGAAATGGGGAAAACAGTGGAGCTTTGGTTTAAAAAATTAAATGGGAAAAAGATTATTGATATGAAAGTGTATACCTATAAAGTATTTAGTTTGGATAAGATATCTCCATGAGGTACTGAATGATAATGAGATTGGTGTTTCATAAGTAGAGTTTATTTAAACTTATGTTTCTTTTTTTATTTCTTTTTCTTCCTTTCTTTTATTGTTGACTTGTTGTAAGCGATATTATAAAATGGTAAGGAGTATAAACAATAAGCAGGAGCCATATTAGATATCAAAATAAGCACAAAAACAGCGAAATGGATTAGGAAGTATTATGGTTTAGTGGATGTAGACTGTGTAATGTTTGTTAGTATATATGTTTTAATGTCTAATTTTGTGATTTGTTTTTTGTGGTCGGTTTTCTATGTTTTTTTAATCAATAAAAAAAATTTAAAAAAAAGAAAGAAAGAAGGGAGTAGCCTCAAAATCCAGGGAGTCTTGGATGACACAAATTACCCAGACCTATTTCAAACCAGCTTCAGAGCAGAATACAGAGTTGAGACCATTATGGTCACCATAGCAGATGATCTTTGCCTGAGCATTGACAGGGGAGTGTGTCCCTGCTGGTGCTTTTGGACATCTTAGTGGCATTCAATACCATGGTATCTTTCTGGAATGCCTGAGGAATTTGGGGATCAGGGGGCACTTGTCCTATCTCTCAGTAGGTTCCAGGTAATGGAGCTTGGGAACAGCTGCTCCCCCAAAAAAGAGTTGTTGTATGGCATACCATAAGGTGCCATTCTGTCCTCAATGCTGTTCAACTTCTACATGAAGCCATTGGGAGAGATAATTCAGAGGCATGGGGTGAGGTAGGGTGCTATCAGTATGCTGATGACACCCAAATCTATTTCTCCATGCCTTCAAAAACAACCACAGCTAAAAATAGTATGTCTCCTCTGAATGAATGCCTGGAGAAGGTAATGGGTTGGATGGGGTAAAACAAACTGAAGTTGAATCCAGACAAGATAGAAGTGTTTACTGTCAAAGCTCCTAACCTGGGTTTGGAGGTGTGTCAACCAGTTTAGATGAGTTTATACCTTCCCAGAAATAATGTGTTTGCTTCTGGATCCACAGCTTTGAATGACAGCTCAGATAGATGCAATAGCAGAAGTGATTACTCTCAGCTTCAGCTGTTACATCAGTTGCATCCCAAACTAGAGCTGGAGGACCTAAAGTTGGTAGTCCATGTACTAGTAACTTCAAGGCTGGACTTCTGCAGTGCACTGTACATTGGGCTCCATCCCAAAGTTTGGCAAAGTTACTTTCTCAGCTACAGTGTCCAAAATCCACCAGCCAGCATGGAAGCTGTAGTCCACCATATCTTTTTCAGACTCTGCTCAGCTCTTTCCACTGTTTATATGTAGCTAACCCCAGTATATTAGCCCTGATGAAATGCAGCCTCCAATAGAAAAATCTCCCTGCCACCACCAAGAATCCATCTCTGGATTCTGAGATGCTTTTTAAAAAAATGAAATATTAGAGAGTTCTTAACCATTTTTCATTAATTTTACACTCCATTATTGTAGTACACTTACATCTAACTTTTTTGGCATGATGGAAGTGAAGCCAGTGTACATGATGGAACTGAAGCCAAGCACAGACTATGAGGACCCAGGGAACTAGATGGGCAAGCTGGCACAACATCCACGAAGAGTAACTTGGTGACATGGAGTGAGGAACAGCTAAGAAGTGACTCAGCAAACAGCACAGAGACAAAGTGAGAAGCTTGACAGAAACTTGTTTAACACAGAGCTTGTTTTTATATATATTGTCTTTATTTTTATATATAGTATTATTTTATTTATATGTACACTTTCCTGATTTTTTTAATCAGTTGAAAACCATATGAAACAGTGTGTTGTCAGTGTGATAACCTGTTTCCATGCTTCTGGAAAACACAACTGACCCCAGGTCTTGGCCACTCTCAGGACTGAAAGCCACTTCCTCATTCATTGGTTCCATGACTAAGGGGTTTATCACACAGGAAAAATCAGGGGTTTAAACAGGCATTTTCTTAGGAAAGCTGCACGATTGCAGTGAAGATTTTCACACACAGCGCGATTTGAGAAGACTAATCTCAAGAATAACCAGGGAATAACCAGCAACAAATCATTCACAGAATTTCCCCATGAATGATTTGTTGCTGGTTATTCCCTCATTATTCCCAGGATAAGTCCTCTCTGATCTCAACATTGTATGAAAGTCTTTGCCGCAATCACATGAATGTCCTGGGAAAATGCCTGTTCAAACCTCCAATTTTCCCCGTGTGATAAAGTCCTAACTTTCATGGAGCAACAATCATCTATATTAACAAGAAATATTTTCTCTTGTGTCAACACAGATTTACCTAATTAAGGAGCTTATTGTTTGGGGTTTTAAATCGAATCAAACCTCTTGGGCTGCAAGCCGAGAGGTGGGATAGAAGCGAGGATTATCGCATGCTAAATCACCGCCAAATTGCCGGCCGCCATCAGCCTGCGTCCCAGCCGGGCTCAGCCAGTGCCTTTTAGAAATCAGAACACTTTCCGTTTTCTAAAAAGTGCCAGCTGAACCCAGCTGGGACCCGAGCTGATGGCAGCCAGCGATTCAGCTACAATTTAGCATGCGATAACCCCCCTCCTCCTGACTGCAGCATGGAAGGCTTGATTCAATTTAAAACCCCAAGCGATAAGCTCCTAAGTGTGATGGCAGCTAAGCTTGGCCATTATAACATTTTATCTTTGGGTGCTCTCTCTCTGATTCCTTCTGACTGGGGACTTTATCACATGAGGCTCTTCTCCTGCTAAAACAGCATTGTTGCTAATAAAGCCATACAGTCGGCATTGCTCTATTTCCTATCACATCTTGAGGAACCTTTCTGGGATTGCAACCTTCCTTGTCACTAAAAGCTTACCATGTGCAGCATTTGGGACTTCGCACCCATTACTTCCTATCTCCATCCACCCTCTTTCCTAATGTGGCTTTGTTTCCCTGAAGGTCACCCTCACTTCCCTTCTCCCAGATTAGAAACGTTCTTCTTTAATGTAAGATACAGAAACTCAAACACACTTCGTTTACACACAGAAATACAAATGAAAATGTCTTATGTTTAAAAAGGTGTTTATTATATCTCAGCCCTCTGCCTTTTTTTCTTTGTGAGGAAGACCTGCATACTTTTTCTCCTTTGGGGTGACCCAAAAATAGGGTTGGGGAGAGAGAAACCAGTGGGTTTCCATGGCCAAGCAGGGATTTGAATCCTGTCTCCAGAGTCATAGTGCAGTGCTCAAACCATTGCACCACTCTGGCTCTCATCTTCTTCTTACAGATATATTTATTCACGCTAACTCAGATAGTTTCCTCCATTCACCCCAATGGAGTTAATCATCCTCTCCTGCTGGAAAAAAAATTGGAGGGAAGGTGGTAATATATCCAAATCATGTATCCCCCTTTTTCTTCACCAGCATTACTGCAGAAAGTTTTGGTCTTCTAAGGACTCCTTCATTGCAGAAAGCACTGCTTATTTCATATAACAGAGATCATAGTATTTCTCTTCCTAGTGAGCTCCCTAATCAGTTTTTTTTTTCATTTTAATATACAGAAGATGTTCATGCCACATTTCACTCCTGTAGCATTTTATTTCTTTCTCCAGATGTTCAGAAACAAATCCTTCGATGCAAAGAAATGACTCCAAAGTTCAGTGATTCCACTGATGGCTCATCTGTCACAGGTGCTCAGTTGTTCTTTTGGGCTGTTATGCTTTTGCTCACGGTACTCAACTATACATTGGTATGTTTGGTTGAACTGTGAATCTGAAGTATGACTTGACACTTTGGTTCAGGAAGCTGAAAAATCAGTTGCTATCTCTTGTTGGTTTCCAATGTTTCATGGATGTTTTTTCTCCCAGTTCCTGCTGAGTGACTGGTTGCCTATCAGGAGCATAAATGTCCATACAATCTTATTTTAAAAACAAGCTCTGAATATGTTATGTACATGCATATGAATTCTAGATATTTATACTATTAACTTTGCCCATGGAATGCTTGAAATAGATTAAGCATAAACTATAATTTTGAATATGCATTGCTATTTATTGATTAAATTAGCAATGACTGGCCTTTGTTAACAAAGAACTTACCTGGGCACAAGGACAAATGGCTCCCTTGGATGTGGGAGATACTACTCCCTCCTGTCATAAGGGTGTGTATCAGAGCCAGAGCTTTGAGAAGGTATGTTTCTTAAATTGCACCTCCCACAATCCTCAACTGGCATGGCCATTTGCAATACTGGCTGGGAGGATGTATACCTTTTTTTAAAAAAAGACTTTTCCAGGCCCTTTTCAGAACAAAACTGTCAAAACAAGCCATAATCAAATACAGTAAAAGTAGAACAGAGAAGATTGTGGCTAATGGCATACTGCAGAATTAATATGGTTTGATACTGCTTTAACTGTCATGGCTCCATCCTATGAAATTCTGCGATGTGTAATTTGTTGTGGCACCAGAACTCTCTGATAAAGATGATTAAATATCTCACAGAACTATAAATCCCTGAATTCAGTAGCCATGGCAGTTAAAGCGGTATCAAACTACATTCATTCTGCAGTGTAGATGCAGCCAATGTGGAGATGATTACAGAAGTGAAGTATTGCAGCATGGGTCCTCTCTTCTCTTGCTTACCTTTGTAGGGTACTCTGTCATGACATCCGCACTACTGGGGAAAAAAGTGTGATGTTTACTTGTTAGTGTCCTAGGCAGAGAAAGAAAGAAGATGTGAAAATTGAAGAAGCATCAACAATTTAAGACATGCAGGTGACACCATATTACTGGGAGAAAACACCACAGACTTGGAATGGATACTGAGGAAAGTTAAGGAAGAAACTGTAAAAGTAGGATTACAGATTAATTTAAAAAAATATGAACAAAGAAAAATTACATAACTTTGAAGTGAATGTTGAAAAAATCAACATTAAATATTTTCCTTAACTTGGCTCAGTAGATAATCAAAATGGAGGCTGTGGTCAAGAAAACATAAGAATAGTTGGAAGGGCAGTTATGAAGAAACTAAGATCCTCAAGGGTAAATGAATGAATACCAAAATCAGAATAATTTTTGCCATGGTATTTCTGATTTCTGTGAATGGACATGAAAGGTGGACAGTGAAGAAAAGTGACAGGAACAGAAACAACTCATTTGAAAAGTGATGATGGAGGAGAGTTGTACTGATAGTATGGATTTTCAAAAAGACAAATAAATAGGTCTGAGAGCCAATCAAACCAGAACTCTCACTAGAAGCAAAATGACTAAACTGAGCTATCATATTTTGGGTACATCATGAAACGATCTGCCTCACTGGGAAATATGTAACTCCTCAGCAAAGTAAAAGGCATAGGCTTTGAGTTTGCAAAACCTGGGAAGAGGTTATTACTAACAGGGTCTCTTATTTATAAGCTAAAGCCAATATGATGGCACACACAGCAACAGCAGTATCTTATGGAATCTTGCATTTTGTAGCTTGGGAGAGGGCATAAGAGTCCTCTGCCTTAGGGTTCTAAATACTTATCCTTAAACTGCAAATCCCAGGATTCCAAAGGTGGGATCATGGCAATTAAAGTGGAATCACAGTGCTACAATTCTG